GAGAATGGAGCGAAACAGAATAACTTCAAGAGTGTATCAGTCTGTAGTGGAAGGAAGGCTGGGTAGGGGTCGGCCTAGGAAAGGTTGGAGGGAAGGGGTAAAGGAGGTTTTGTGTGTGAGGGGCTTGGACTTCCAGCAGGCATGCGTGAGCGTGTTTGATAGGAGTGAATGGAGACAAATGGTTTTTAATACTTGACGTGCTGTTGGAGTGTGAGCAAAGTAACATTTATGAAGGGGTTCAGGGAAACCGGCAGGCCGGACTTGAGTCCTGGAGATGGGAAGTACAGTGCCTGCACTCTGAAGGAGGGGTGTTAATGTTGCAGTTTAAAAACTGTAGTGTAAAGCACCCTTCTGGCAAGACAGTGATGGAGTGAATGATGGTGAAAGTTTTTCTTTTTCGGGCCACCCTGCCTTGGTGGGAATCGGCCAGTGTGATAAAATATATATATATATATATATATATATATATATATATATATATATATATATATAATATTTTTATATATATATATATATATATATATATATATATATATATATATATATATATATATATATATATATATATATATATATATATTATATATATATATATAATTCCATTTTTGTTTTGATATGCAAATTTGTTTACAAGTCTTGCAACATTTTTAAAGCTGCCGTCTCCGACTTGTTGTTTGTTCCTGAAAAGAAAAAAAAAACTTGCAGCCGCCGCCACCACCTCGCAAAAGTCACCACATCATGGAGAATTTTCTGCAGAAATGCACCTGAATACCCCTGTGTGGAGACGACAGATGGTGGAGCACTCGGAGGACCGTGTAGGTACGGAGGAGCAAGGAGGCGTGTCTACAGCTCTCTAGCGTCCCTAAGATGTAGGGTGTTGTGGTTATGGTAGGGAGACTGGATGTGAAAGTGTGGTCGTTAATCTCGTGGATGAATGTAGACTGGCTTTTGACAAGGACGACTTTTGGACTAATGGAGTGGTCTCTCGGTGACAAGCCTAAGGAAAAATGGAGTGAACTTTGATGGTGACATGGGAGGGGAGAGCCTTTGGTAACGAAACATACGACTTAGGGATAAATACGTTACAAAGACAAATAAATAGTAGGATGAACGTGTTACGCCTTTGCCAAAGGGAGAAATAGGAGAGGCGAACCTTCGTTGCAACTCTGAGAGCAGCATTCCTGCAGAGGAAGAGCAAGGTTTTTGTAAGTCGTGAGTTGCTGATAAGAAAAGAAGGAGATTCAGAAGTTAGTTCATGCGGCTGAGAATGACAACCAGAAAGACTAGTCTCAACCAGGTCATAACCTGGCTAGCCTCCAGGTCCGAGACGGAGACCATCACCCGGCTTACCTGTAGGTCCCCAATAGAATATCATTTTGCTCACCTACAAATCCCAAAGACAGACCAGCCCCTGGCTCACCTACAGGTCCTAGAGAGAGACCAGCCCCTGGCTCATCTACAGGTCCCAGAGAGAGACCAGATTTGGCTCACCTACAGGTCCCAAAGATAGACCAGTCCCTGGCTCACCTACAGGTCCCACAGAGAGACTAACCCCTGGTTCACCTACAGGTCCCAAAGACAAACCAGCCCCTGGCTCACCTACAGGTCCGAGAGAGAGACCAGCCCCTGGCTCACCTACAGGTCCCAGAGAGAGACCAGCCCTTAGCTCACCTACAGGTCCCAAAGACAGATCAGCCCTTGGCTCACCTACAGGTCCCAAAGACAGACCAACCCCTGGCTCACCTACAGGTCCCAGAGAGAGACCAGCCCCTGGCTCACCTACAGGTCCCCACAGAAACAGACCAGCACAACCACACCGGCCCCAGACCACCAAATGGTGTCACCGTTCGTACTATTGATGGTGTGATCGTGATTGCTAGTTTTCCATGATTCTTTTTTTGCTGTTGTTGTTGTTGTAATCTGTTTTTGTTTTTATTTCTGTTGTTGTTGCTTTTCTTGCTTCTGTTATCAGTGTTGCTTTGAGACTCTCTGATCGCGGGTTCTATCCCCGCCCGTGGTATGGTTTGCTTTTATTACTTTCCCCGTTTTCACTGCTGCTGTTTTTGTGCGATGGAGTTTGAATTACTGTTTATCTTCCCGTTGCTATCAGTGATTCTGTTGCTGTCTTACGTTGTAGCTGTTACTTGTGAGGCATATACACATTGCTGGGTATACAGCCTGTTGCAGTGCGTATATATACTCGGTGTATATTTACTGAGAGACGAGTATCCCTCGGTGTATATACTCTAGGGAATGTATACCTTTTCCTGTGTATACATATATATCTCGTATGTATATACCGTCACCCCTCCCCTGCCCCCATCTCTCCCCTACCCCGGCCCCTACACCCCCACCCTGAATTAGAGAGCTTAATTGCCACTCGCTAGGTACTAATCATTTAATAGGTACTTACCACCTATTTGGTACTTACCACCTATTTGGTACTTACCACCTATTTGGTACTTACCATCTACGAACTGCCACGAGACATGAAAGAGGGAAGATAGCAATATTTGTTGAATAATGATGAGAAAGGGAGAGGAGAGAGAGAGAGAGAGAGAGAGAGAGAGAGAGAGAGAGAG